TGATAAAATTTTATAGGTGGAATGTTAAATTTTATTTTCCTTAATGTTCTTTGAATATGTTTTCTTTGAAAGTCAGAGATGAATCTATGATCAACTGAATAATAACAACTGCAAAATTAAAATATAACAGTGCAAACTGATGCACATATTATATATCAGGATTATTTTTAAAGTTATGAATTCATAATTTTATTGAGCTTTCCTTTCAGAACTATCTTTAAAGAAAAATTCCATCAACTTACAATATTTCAAGTATAATAAATCTGCCTTAAAAGTTTTCTTTAGCTATGTTATTTCACCAGATACGGGAATCCATAAGTAATTTTTATTGTTAAATTGCGAAATCAGGTAAAGAGTTAAAAAAATGTTATGGCAAATACACGTATAAGGAATTTGTGAAAGGTCATTGGCTGATCTGTTTCTCAAAACCTGTATTCTGATCTTTGGTCCTTAAAATATTGATTTTGGGAAGTGGATCATATCAAAAACTTCCAGCACCCCTTAAATCTAATGTGTATGGCTGACAAAAAACATCCACTCAACTTTCCAAGTATAAAATTACATGTATGTATTTTTCATATCAACTTTATTGAGTGATTTTTTTTTATCTTATCTGAAAGAAAATCATCCCAGCAAGTTGTTTTTTTTTTTAACAAACTTGTATGACATAAAATTTATTGCATATGGATATTGCTTTTCATTTCAAAAGAACTACACCTCTATTCTCCATTCCATCTTATAGCCTATCACATAGTATTTCTCTTGGGTAGACCCTTAAAATATGTATTAATAACATCCATTTACACTTTTGGAACTTTCTCCCAAAACAGACGCATATACATATGGACTATTGTCTTCATCTTTATTGTTGTTATCACAATGTTTTGACCTTCAGTATTCATCAGGTATACCTGAATAACCTACAAGGTATTTTGAAATGAACCCTTTATTTAATTTATGGGGTTAGACTGTTCTTGTTCCAATGTCTAGGGATATCATACCTTGTTTTTACTGCTCAGTTATTCCTTATCCCATTTGTGCTGAATCCAAGTACACACTGTCTGGCTCAAGACACAATTACAGTGAGTACTTGGTCTCAGTGTAAATGGAATAATCAATAACTGAGCAGTACTAAATAAAAAACAAAACAAGATATCATGAGACATATACAGTGGAACAAGAATAATCTAACTCCATAGATTAAAAAAAGGGTTCAGTTTGGATTTCTCTTTAGGTTACCCAGGTTGATGTATACCTATTGAAGGCTGGTGGGGGCACAATGGTCAAAACATTTTGATAGCAACAACAAAGATGAAGACAGAATATACATTTTCATTTTATAATGAACACTTACATAACAATTTTCATTGTTTGTCTTCACCCAATGTACGTTTAAAGCATCTTAATCTTTTTAAAGGAACTTAATTACTTGAATTGCATTAGTCTATACAATCCTTCTTTGTCATTATTTCCTGCTTTATTAAAAGTCTAAGGTGTTATACAAAATCCAGTGATGTCTATTGTGGATAACAAGGCTTTCACCACCAAAGTAAATGTTTCTCGAAGCTGTATCCAAAATTAAAAATGAGAAACTAAATGGGTGTGTGATCTATGTTCTATACGCGTGCAGATATATAGAATGTGAGCATGTGCAAATTATTGCAGGCTTGAGACTTTGGAGTCATTTTCTTTCATATGGACCCCTCCCCCAACAAAAAAAAAAGGTTAATTTTTTCTTTTATGTATGCATGACAATGTTCACTAAAGTTGCATTGAAATCTTGCATACACCTGTTTGTGTATCTCAGAGTCATTTTGTGTTCACATAAGTCAGAATGTTAATAACTGAACATGTTGGTTTAGTTGTTGAATTTAAATTTTGTTTTTCTTTTTGCAAGAACAATATAGAAATTTTTTTTTCTTTAATCCCAGCTGTAACAAAAAAAAAAAAAAAATGGCTGCAGTTGGGTCTTTTTTTTTTTTTTTTTTTATTATTGTAAGCAGGGGATCTACCTGCTCGTTCATTGTGCACATAACAAAATTTTTCTTTTTTTGCCCTGGGGATTTTTCTCCAAGTTTTTTTTTTTTAATTTTATTTTTAACTTGTTAATATGGAAAACAAAAGAAATTAAAACAAGAAATGTATTTCTAACAAATTTTCATAAAAGTAAAGTGATGACGATTCTTTTTATTTGCTTGTTATTTATTAAGCAAGGACCAGGTAGTAATTATATAAATGGTTAAAAAGAAATTTTTTTTTCAATCATTAAAAAAAATTAGATAACTAATTAAGTTGTTGTGCTTGTTTATATATATTTATGCAAAAATAATTGTTTTAATTATTTTCTTTTTTTTTAATACAAATTCTGTTTTTTTTTTCAACTCCCAAAAATTGTGGTGTACTTACTTAAAAACAGAAAAAAAAATGATATTCTGTGTAAATCATTTCTTTTACCATGCCTCATATTCTGAATATGACTTTTCAATGATGTTGATGACAAATTTTTATAAGAGTATAAGGAAGATCGATTAATAGCAGTGTCAATCTCAAACAAGGCATTATTCTGAATTGTGCGGCAACTTGATAGATAAATCCCCTTTGCTCATCAGGCAGGTTGCTGCTCAGTTATTACAAAACTGCAAATAAAAGACTTTGAGCAATTTTCAAAGTTGTCACTTTGATTATTCTCCAGATGTTGGAAATTTTTATGATTTTGAATGGTTTATTAATACTGTTGAATGTTTCTCGTAAGATACAAATCCACAATGTGAGACCAGGTAAAAAAATAATGATTATTTTTCATGATGTAACTATAACTAAAAAAAAAAAAAAAAAATCATATAACTAAACAAGTTACTTATAACTAAAAAAAATAACAAGTGGTATTTTCATTACAGAATTTTTATTATCTCTTAATCTTTTGACAAGGATACATTACTACGCATTGTTTTCAGGGAACTATCATATCATTCTCACTTCTGTTTTTCCCCTTGTGATATTTTCAAATTCAGTTTCTTTTTGTCTATGATGACCAATAATTTTTATCTAACAGTAACTTTTGTTGGAGATAAGGTTTATTAAAAAACATTGTGATATCATTATTTTATTACTTATTCATCCTGGAATTTGGAATTTTTCCTTAGACAAGTTTGAATAAAATACTCAGCAACAAATGTGTGTTCATACTCAACTACATTTAAGTTGTAATCGTTCTATTTCTGATAGAATAAATTTTCAATAACCAAATAAAGAACAGTGAGACTCAAACCAACAGCTAATCCAGTTAAATTTATTATCCTGGCAATACGTTTACCAGTTTTACCATGTTAGCTTATGAGATGGAAACTCATTGGTATTAAGTGGTTACACATTTTCAGCTGTGAGTAGTTCCTGCAATTATGACTTGTGTTTGATCAAAAAGAGAAAAAGCTAGTTCATAGTTTGCTTGTCTGTTCCTTTGTCGAACTAGCAGTAAAAACAAAAGTGAGAATGTTTGTCAGAAAAAACACTAAAGCAATGAGAAGTAATCTTCATCCCTGTCTTGACAGTATTATAATCACATTGTTTACAAAAGTGTTTTAATTATATCAGATTGGGTAGGATCACACCTTATACAATTAACAGCCTCTGGTCTAACTGAATATCTAATATATACATACATACATATATCTGTATGCATATGCATATATATATGTATACATACATACATACATACATAAAGGTTAGTAAAATGATACTAGAAGAATAGAAATGTTACCCTAATTATTTGTTTTTCCTGTTGTATAGTTGCAGTAGTGGTGGCATTATTAGTTGTAATTATTGTTCTTAAAATAAATGTTGTTATTATTGTTATTGTCGTTATTTAAATTGCAAGTACAAAATGAAACAAGGAGTAATGACAGAAGCTTTGCATTAAAAGTAAAAAATTGTTTCAAAGCTTTGTCACAAAAATGTTTTTCTTGGTGGGGGAATACGAAGAGGGAAAGGGTTTTTTTATTTTTTGATTTTAAATTCATTATTTAGTTGTTCAAAAGGAAAAAAAAACAAAAAGAATGGCAGAATGTCTTTGAGTTGAGGCGTGGCAAGGGAATGGGTAAAAAGGGGAGAGCATCAGCATTGGGAAAATTATTTTCTTCTCAGTGGGTGCAGAATAAAAAAAAATGAAATATTTTCAAGTCTTTTTTTTTTTTTCATAGTTTAAGGAGTTAGGGAGGTTATATCTTTTGTTCAAAGGTTCAAAGGTGTTGGGAGATTGGGAAGAAGAAGGACAAATTTGGTTCATGTAATTTTTTTTCTCCATATTATAAGTATTGTTTGGAAACAATGTCTTTAATTCTTGTATCCTGATATATATATTTTTTAATGTTTTCTTATTTCATTCCACTCTTTGGTCAGAGTTTCAGCACCAGTCTTCATTACAGAATGTAGTTGGGTAGAAACATTCTTTTTTTTTACTTATTGATGTTGTTGCTGTTATAAAAAAAAAGAAAATCATAATCCAACATCCTTTTTTCTTTTATAAGAGATTTTCTCTCAGTTGTGTGTGTCTTATTATGATGCCCATCTTTCAATAGATTTTTCTTTTACTCTATTCAACAATCTAATTTCTTCATTTTCTTTCCTTTATTTAAAAAAAATTTTTTCCTCAGACTCCATTGTTCATTTATAGGAGTGTCCACTTTAAAGGAAAAAAAAAAAAAGAAAAAACACTGACCTCTCTTTTTGTTTTTTTTTCTTTTTTTTTATATACGAAATTTTTTTTTCTTTCTCTCCTTCTGGGTTATATATTCCACTGTTATTTTTATATGCATAAAAAACCCCCAAATGTTCCTTTCTTTCTTCTGTATCAAGCAAATCTTCCAAAGTAGGCTATTGTGTATCATCAGGTGGTAGTTTTAAATACACACACTTGTCATAAGAAGTATTTTGTGCAAAATCCACTGACCAATCAAATAAGCCAATGGCTTGCACATAAACAACTTGGCGAATGAGGAAGGCATTTAGCGGCAATATCGAATTGGACTGCTGTCGCCTTTTCTGTCAGTTTCCAAGTTTAGACGTTGGCCATCAATTTCAAAAAAATCTATGCAGCCATCAAAACCATCGTAATACTCCTTTGGAAGGCCTCTGGGAAGACTTTTCTTTCCTCCTGCAAAAACAGAAGAGTAACAATTAGTGCTGGAAGTAAAAACAAAAACAGAATCTCTGAAAAAAGTTCATTATGCAGATTGAAAATATTTATTAACTTAGTGGAATTGTGAAAGAAATTGTACTTGCGCATGCTTCTCAGATCTGTGATATTTACAAAAACTATTTTTAACAAAGAGTTTTCATTCTTTTTATGGTTTCATGCTATTGCTTAAAAGTTCATTTTATATGTACCATGTCCCTTCAAGATGTTGGCGATCATAGCTCACCACAATTTCCTATCCTTTGTAGATCTTAATAAATTTTGTTATCTCTCCTAAATGTTGTTCCACCATCCATTTACTCAAGCTCATTCTTTTCTTTCTATGTGCTGTGTCCTTCCAGGATGTTGTCAGTCATAGCTCACCACAATTTTCTGTCCTTTGTAGAATTAATAAATTTTGTCTTTTTGTTATCTCTCCTAAACCTTGATCCACCATCCATTTACTCAAGCTCATTCTTCTTTTATATGCTGTATCCCTTCAAGACATTGATTGAAGAGAGGAGGTACTGAAGATCTGCCATTGTTCAGCACACTCTTCAGAGCCACCAGTAATCTCTAAAACCAAACTTGTGAGAAGTTATATGTTCTCATTTTATCGGCAAACAATGACTTTGCTTCTTTGAGGACAAGCTTGCACTCATTATGAGCAATGAAAAAGAAATGCCTCTTACAATCAGACCTGTCATTCTGTGGGCACTATAGCAGCTAAGCAGGCAGGTGAGAGCCAAGTATTGATAGGGATTTTCTTTATAACCTTTTATTCAAAGTGGTGTGGAATGTTGGCATCATGATTATGTCATTATTTTCTCTTCAAGTTCCATATGCCATTCATTTTAGTGGTTGCCGTTGTTGAAAGTCCTCAACTGGTGTGATTTCTGTTATTTGGTACAGTTTTTATGATTCTGCACCACCAGTCCACAATGTTTGAAGAAGGATGGTCTTTGCCAAGATGCTTCACTCACTCAAAGCCACTTTTAACCATTGATCTTAGAAAGCTGTTGTATACAGCCAACAGTTGATGACTGATATATGTGGTGCCCCAACAACCCTCATGATGTGAATATCATAAGATAATGAATAGATTTATAGTTATCTGTGATTTAATCTTTAGCATGCAGTAGGTGACTTCTTTTGCCAAGCAAAATGTTAGTCCTGCCAATGTAAATTGAATTTGAATTTCATAGTTGTGTAGTCATATCCTTCTATGGCAACATTTAAAACAATCTTCACTGAAATTGAGCACCAGTCTATTGCAATTTCAAATATAAAGAACTAATATATAAAAAACTATATTTTGAAAGGGTTTTTATATTCCAATTATTTGAGATGATTTTAATTTCATGAGAAAAATAAAAACTATTGTCCCATACCTATCCATAGTTCTCCATCTGAGTCTAGTTTGTTGGCACTATTGTCCGATGCTCCAATGACAGGATTTGCATTTTCTATTTTTATCTGACCATCTATCTGGTTCCTGCAACAGAAAAAAAAGGTGTTATTTATGTTATCCTCTGCTTAAAATTAGATTTCCTTCTGGTTTACTTTACATGTTAACCTGATGTGAACTGTAAAACAAACAAAAATAAGAAGTCATTCTCTGCACAGGGGTTCCAAACATCACATCTGGCTCACAAAACAAATCCCCTAACAAAAACAAAACATAAAACACAATATAAAAGGAGCCAATCATGACCATTACTGCCAAAGAAAAAACATGAAAAAATGATTTCATGATCCACTCTGTCTGCTTTAAAGAACACCTCTTACAACACTGTGGAGAGTAGCTGCAAATGGAAAAGCTGTCAACATCATCACCTGTGACCTTGTTCAATCACCCTAAAACATGCCTCAATTCCAGACCCTACTAACTCCCCCTTTCTTCTAAATCACTTCCCTTGCCCAGAAAGAGAGATTCTGTTCACATCCTCTTTATGAGCAATACAAAGAATTTTAGCTTACCAATTTTTGTCTTCATTTCCTTTCACCTCACTGGTGGTAGCTGTTCTTTTATTTGTTCATTATAACATTTATATTGCATCCTATTTTAGCAATCTTTAATGTCTTTTAATGTTCTATCGCATTTGAAATTTTAGATAAATTTCCATTAATCGACAGTTCTTAGAGCCCGACTATAATAATGTTGAACATGGGATGGAGAAGAAATAGAATTGACTCCATAACTTTATATTTTCAAGTTCTATCTATAAAGAAATGTCAAAATAAAGAATATTTTATTATACATCATCTTTTATATTTGTTGAACAAATTAACTTCATGCAGAATCTGAAGACTAAATCAACATTTTTTTTTTATGTGTTTTGGGAATATTGGAATGGAAAATTCTGCTTATTTCTGAGGGATAATTGATGGCAAATCAAGACTTGATGGTTTTTAAGAAGAATATTGGTTGTGTTAATAAGTAGCTATTTGTATGGAATTAGAATCAGCAATCAGAGTTCAAATCTTTATCTAGTCCATTATCTTCAATTTTGCACTAATGCACTTAAGAAAGCAATGAATCTGCCTCTTCAACCACCATCTACGGGTTAAATAGCAGGGTAGACTGAACTTGTGAGTAACTATTCTATGAGAAGAAAAATTAAGAATTCCAAACCACGAAGATGTCAACAAGAAACCACTACATTATCTTTTCTAAAAATGCATGGCTTTTCCCAGGTAATAAAGAAATGGAAGCTGTGGAGAGTGATGATCACATACACCCTAAAGGAAGATAGCATTATAAAAGAAGAATGTGTAGATATACAATGAAAACTATGATGAAAAAGTTCTCTCTAGCAATGGTCTTGGTCAAAAGTAACATCTACAATTATGTATAGATCTATATTCTGTGCATGTATATACACACCTGTAATATTAGCCCTTGTTAAAGTTGACTGTAGAAGCAATAACTTTTTGCTGCTATTGTCCAAACATTTACAAGAGAATTTTTTGTTCAAATACTTACTCACTCTCTTCTCCATCAGTCATCATGGCATGCCAGTGACAAGATAGTTTCACCAGGATATTTAATGACAGAACTAGAAGAGAATTCATACTTTTGACAAAGTTTGACCATTTTATTTTCTATGCTACACAACTTTCCTTACCCATATAAATAAAAGTAAATATAATCCCCTCACCAGGGTAGAAATGGCATCCATTTGTTACAACTAATCTTAGAAGAAGTCTTACAACTTGAGAGTCTGATGGGATTGTCAGATACTGAGGTGGGCCCTGGCTTCATGGTTATCATGATTCAACCCTGAAACTCTGTCTAATTCCAGGTTCATTATCTGAAGTCTTTGTTATGAGCATTATAGAAGCCTGTCTATCTCACTCTCTCTTTGTCTATCTAAATATATGTATACACACACTCACACATGCATGCACACTAGCATTTTCTAAAGAATGGATTTCTTTTTAATCAGACATTTTTATTACTCCAGATGTTATTATAATGGGTCATTTTGTAAATAGATACTCTATTCATATTTATTAATGTGCAGGATGATAGACAAAATACAAATTGTTTAATAAATAAGAATGGAGTGTCTTTTTCAAAGACAAAGTATCCACTATAACAATGTTTGAGGAAATAAAAATGTCTGATTAAAAATACACTAACATGCAAAACTTTTGGGTCAACTTGGTAAATTAATACTTATGTCAATTTAACCAACAAGAATAATTAGCAGTATGCCTTTCAAATAATCTTTGAGGGCCAGAAAACAAGTTATTGTATTTTTGTTAATGCTTGTATGGTGGATGATAGAGCATCTTAATCATAGTGATGCTGAAAATAGGCCATGCAAAAATACTGGACCACCACTGAAAATTTCTCCTTTCAGCTGTTTTCTAAAGTTAAGAAGGTATGTTTTGTGATGTTTATCATGATTCAACTCAGAAAATATGTCTAATCTCAGGTTCAGTATCTAAAGATTTTGTTACTGGCATTATAACAAAATATCTATATCTATATCTATATATATATATATATATATATATACATGAATATAAAGATATATATTTTTAAATATAAAAACAATTGGCGATCATAATGAAATTGACCACAATTTTGACATAAAAAGCACTAATCTGATCAAAAGAGAAAACAATTCCCTACAATGAAAATGTTTATTGAATGCTTTGAGTGCAAGGTTATCTACAGTAAATATGTCTAATCACAGGTTCATTATCTGAAGATTTTGTTACTGGCATTATAACAAAATATCTATTAATCTATCTATCTATATATATATATAGATAGATATATGACAATTCAGAACAATTATATTTTGATTCTCTGATGAATTGTCACCATCAAAAAAGGATTTTTTTTCAACAAAGCAAAATTTGATTCATTGAAACATATACATACTTAATTATTGGCACATGGCCATACACATGAAAAAGGAAGAGAGTCTTGCACCATTCATCCAACTTTCTGAGTATACTAATATAAAATTTGTACCTATCTCAGCTGTCTGATTAGATAAAGGTAGAAGTATATATATATATATATATATATAAAATTTGCTCTACTCTGTATTGAGCACTCTTTTAAGAATAGTATGTTTTTGGTTATTGGAATTTATTCTGTATACACCAATACTTGGATGGATATATATATATATATATATATATATATATATATATATATATGATAAAGATATATATTTTTAAATATAAAAACAATTGCTGATCATAATGAGACTGACCACAATTTTGACATAAAAAACACTAATCTGATCAAAAGAGAAAACAATTCACTACAATGAAAATGTTTATTGAATGCTTTGAGTGCAAGGTTATCTACAGTAAATTTGCACCCTATCTTTTACACCATTTTACCATTCCTGGCAGAATTTCTATTATCATAGTGTGGGATATCTAATAACAAAAGTGATAAAAAGGAAAAGGATCTAAATGAAATAGCCTAGATTTAAAAAAAAACAATTAAAAATTTCTGGTATCCCTCATTTGTGCGCATGTGTAGTCGCACCAACATAATAAATTTAGTCAGGAGAAGTCCCACTGGATGAAATGTGTCTGAAGAAAACTGTTTCCACTTTGTCATACATTAGATATTAGTAATTTTTTTTTTTCAAAATAGGCTTACACAGGTGTATCTTTTAAAAAAATTTTAAATTTCAACATTTTGCTTTGATAAAGTTGAATGATGAAACGTGTTGGCAAGGACTAAGTACTATTTTCCGATTGTCTATTTTATTCAATTTTTTTTCTCTACATATTTATTCTGAAAAATTTAACATGCATATATATATATATATATATATATATATATATATATATATATATGCATGCACCTTCACTCACAAATGATTACATCAAATTAAAAGATTCACATGAACATATTTATTTCTTATTCTTCAATGTGTAGGGACTCTTCAGGATGTTGGCAATCATGGCTCTCCATAATTTCTCATTCTTTATTGTTATTAATATTATTCTTTTGTCCTTTTGGCATCTCACCCAAACCCTGCTCCACCATTCATTCACTCAAGCTCACCAGGTACGTTATGCATTGCTTTCCTCTGTCACTCTTACCTTCTGTTATAGTAATTTACCCACGCACACACTGGATTCTGCCAGCTATAAATAGGAGCAGGTACTGCCTTTTGGAGAGTGAATGTTTCCAGCAGTCACCTCTGACAGTCAGACCGAACATTCTTGCTGTAACACTCTTCTTTGTATATGTTTGTATTACTGTTTCTCTTAATATATTTGTTTCAACTCAATTCCTCTCTTGTGTCTTTATTTTTGGCCCTAACAATGCTACAACACCTTCAATCTCTCCGATGAGTATTAAATTTACCATGCCCTCTTTCCTCATTATGTACCCTAGAATTTCAAACGGCTCTTCCTTATGGTAAGTATAAGTATCCTTTTTCATTTTCTCTAAAACTTCATCATTACTCACATATTCAGTCCATGGTATTCTCAGCATCTTTCTGTAGAACCACATTTCTGTTGCTTAAAGTCTCTGTGAGGAGATTTTCCAGTATTTGCTACCATATAGGAGAACTGATATTACATAACAGTTCAGTACTCTTTTCTTTGTTTCTAACAATATTTTTCCCTTTTTTTAATATTTGCTCAGTCTTTGGAAGGCATCTTTCACTATCCCAATGCACCTTCAGATTCCCATGTTGCACTTTCCATCCTCTGTTAAAACAATTCCCAGATATTTAAGTTGTTGCAGCTGTTTGATTTCGGTATCTCCAATTTGTAATTTGCATGTTGGCCTATTTCTATTAATTTCTGCACACACATAAATGGATTCCCATTGAAAATGCTCTACTTCATCTTATTCAGTGTCTTCGGGTAAAATTAATGAGAAAGTTTATGGCTTCAACCATCTGATTTCTCTGATTAGTTTAGAGTGAGTGATATTGACCTTTAAAGTTTATTTATGATGTCAAATCAAGCTTGTAGGTCATTTAATATTAATTA